AAATTTTCTCTTTTCATTTTTCTATTATCCTTTATCCTAATTCTGCTTTATATTAGCTAATATTTAGTATCACTGTTCGCCCTCACTTATTTGTCGCTTTTCTCATTTTTTTATTTCACTGTCCCCCCTTCTTCCTATACTGTTGTCTTCTCAGCTACTCCTAGCCCTCTTTGTCCTCTCTTTGGTTTCTTCCTCTGCTTCCTTCAGCGCCTTCTCGATCCTTGATAATCTCTCGCACCTTTTCTTTCCTCCTCTCTTAATCTCCTCATTAATTCCTTGCAGCTTATCACATGTTCCAGTCTTTCTGCCTTTTTTCCGCATGCCCTGCATTTATCGTTTTCAAAGCCGCTCTTTCCTCCCCTCAGCACGTTTCCGCATCTCCACCTTGCCCATGACACCTTCTGCTCTATCCCTAGCCTCCTATCCCCCCAATACTCGCTCATCGTTGTGTCCTCCTTCAACTCTCTATAGTAGTCGCAGTATCTCGACCTTTCAATCCTTTCCTAATCCTCCTGCTTTTCCTGGTCCTCTAAGATTTTCAGCAACTCCAGGAGTCTTTCCTCCGACTCTGCCTCTCTCCCTTCCCACAGCAGTTCCAGAAATACCCCGTCTCCTAGCGATCTCAGCTTCCTCTGCACTTCCTTTCCCCAGTTCGTAGCCTGTCCATTTTTTATTCCTCTCAGTTCCTCCCTCAAGCACTTCCTTGCCCATCTACTTTCGTCCATCTTGCTCAGTTTGATCAAGAACCCTGCCGCTCTCCTCACTGCCTCCATTTCCACACTGCAAGTTCCTGCCTTNTGCACTTCCTTTCCCCAGTTCGTAGCCTGTCCATTTTTTATTCCTCTCAGTTCCTCCCTCAAGCACTTCCTTGCCCATCTACTCTCGTCCATCTTGCTCAGTTTGATCAAGAACCCTGCCGCTCTCCTCACTGCCTCCACTTCCACACTGCAAGTTCCTGCCTCCATTCTCCAAATATAGTCCGGTGTGTTTCTTGCCAACCCCATGCTAGCCTTTATGTACTTCTTCTGCACCCTCTCTACATTCTCCTGCCTTTTCCACCCCCATAGCTCTACTCCGTATAGTGCCGCAGCCTTCACCGTCACCCCCATGAAGTATAGCCTCCTCCTCAGGTTCTTCAGCTTTGCCCTCGTCATTTTCCCCCAAGTTTTATTCACTNAGCCTTCACCGTCACCCCCATGAAGTATAGCCTCCTCCTCAGGTTCTTCAGCTTTGCCCTCGTCATTTCCCCCCAAGTTTTATTCACCATCGATTGTGCTTTCCCCGCCAATTTCCTCGTGTGTTTTGCATACGAGTTTCCCGTTGTGAACCAGTAGCCCAGGTACTTAAATTCTCCTACTACTTCCAGTTTTTCTCCTTTGTATCTCCATTCTTCTCGTTTCCTCTTTCCTCCCTTCCTGAATATCATTATTTTGGTTTTTTCTACGCTCACCACCATTAGATTCCTATCTGCCCATTTCTCCAATGTCTTCAGCATCTTTTGTAGATCCGACGCCTCTTCTGCAACTATTGCTGCATCATCTGCATACATTAGGGCAAATATTTTCACGTTCCCTCCTTGGCTAATCGGTGTGCCCCCCTCGCCCCTCCTTTCTAGGTCCTCCACCATATCCTGTATAAAGATGTTAAACAGGATAGGACTCAGCGGACAACCTTGCCTCACTCCCTTCCTCGTTTTAAATTCCTCCGTCAACTCTTCTCCTGCGATTACCCTATTCCTAGTGTCTTCGTATATTTTCCTCGTCATCCTCAAGAACCTTCCCCTTATTCCCAGCCTCTTCATTTTTTCCCATAATCTGTTCCTGTCCACCTTGTCGAAAACCGCCTTAAAATCTATGAACGCCACATACAATTTCCTTCCCTTATTCTCCAGCCTGTTCCCAATTAGTGTGTTTAAAACAAATACCTGCTCCATCGTCCCTCTTTCTCTCCTGAATCCTGTCTGCGCCTCCGATAGCTTTTTCTCTTCCTCTAACCAGTTTCCCAGCCTCCCAGCCATTATTGATGCTAGTAATTTGTAGCCGATGTCCAAAAGCGATACCCCTCTGTATTTTGTCGCAACGTTCACATCCCCTCTCTTGTGGATTGGGAAAATCGTGGCCAAGTTCCACCTATGGATTATTTCCGCCTGTTCCCATAGTTCCTTAATTATTTCGTTCAGCTCATCCATCCCCTCTTCTGGTAAGTTTTTCCAGAATTCTACAGTTATTCCATCCTCTCCTGCTGCCTTCCCCCTCTTTAATTTAGCTACTGCCCGCAAAATCTCCCAATCCGTAACATCTCCATCCAGTTTGGCATCTTCTATTTGTTGCTCAAGTCCCCTCCCTTGATCTTCTTCCACGCTTCCATCTGTTTCCTCAACAAACTCCCTCTCCGTCCGGCTCTCGTCCTCTGCTTCTAGTAGTTCCTTGAATTGCCTCAGCCACTCTTTCTTCTTCACATTGTTGCTCTCTCTTTTCTTCCCTTGCCTAAACCAGTTCATCGCCTTCCACCAGTCTGCCATTGTCCTCCCCTGTGCTACTTTCCTCCGTTTTTCCTGTATCCATTCCATCACAAGCCTTGACCTCAGTTTTCTAAGCTTTTTCTTCGACTGGTTGTATTTCCTTTTAGTTTTCCAATCCCTTTTTCTCCTGAATTTCTTAATTTACTCCGATAATTTCTTCTTATTCTACTCAAATGATACGAGATATTCCGTTCCATAAATAATTATTCCGTCCCGGCGGGCGCAAAGTTACATTGCCCTCTCGCTTCGCGGGAGGGAACTCTGACTTTGCGCCTACGCCGAGACGGAAAATCGCGTTCTAACCACGGGAAGTAAAATAAAGGACCCTCAGCCGCGTGCTTACCAACCTCGCCTTCGGCTCGGCTGGTAATTGTACTGGCGGCTGAGGATCCTTTATTTTCCCTCCCTAGGTTAGAAATATACTATTCCTGCGGTCCCTTGACAGGCAACCCCTAGTAATGACTCTCTCTAGGCTCCCTTTCTAGGCACCAGGGTAACCCCACCGGTCTCCTGGAACAATAACTAAAGCAACGAGAGAAATAACAAAGAGAGAGACAAAGAAATGGGACAATTCTATTCTATTCCTTAGTTGACTATATCCCCTCCAATGGGTTAGGGGCAAGTGTCGATGTCTTCTGTTTCTTTTTTTTTTTTTGGCTATCTATCCAATATTTCGAGAGGTACTCGAATTCAGGATAACTTCCAAAGTCGTGTTATTCTATTCCCTTTTATTTTCTGGCTCATCGTGAACTCTCTCAGAATGATGTAAACATTGTGGTGCGTCTTGACCTTCGATGTTCTTTGTTTTGAATACCAATTTTATTCCTGAGGAATTTCATTATATGACCTCATCATATGTAAGTCAATCCAGAAGATTGCCGCTATAACACAATTTCTCGACACAGTTCAATGTCAGCACATAAGAAATTCACTTCACAATCACTTTTGTTTTAAAAGATTAATCACTTTTAAAATTAAGTCTTCTGTTAACTTATCTCAAAATTAATATTCAATTCGGACCGTTAATCACCTCTGATCGGATGTTGGATTAATTCTAATCTGGTTGGGAGTTCGCTGATGGTCTCTAGGACCACTATTAATTATTGGAGCATCAAAATTAATGATGGAAAAAGAATGAGAAAAAGAAAGGAAGAAAGAAAATTAAAGAATAGATGTTAGAAAAGGATATTTCAGGTGTTGGGATATATATCCTTTGGAAAGGAACAGACGAGCGACTGTGCCGCTTGACGACTCCCAGTAAACTCCAGAAATGGGACAAATCCTTTGACTCAGGGCCTTGACACTCCGGAATCCCTCGTCCGCAAAGCCGCCCTCAGTTTCGTCCTAAATTCTTCCAAAGATCGCGCCTCCGATACCTCCTGCGGGAGTGCATTCCACTCGTTCATCACGCCGACGGGTAAAAAATTTAGCATCAAAAGTCCATCCTCACTCTGGCTTTCATGAGCCGGTTTTAGCTTGAACAATTTGACGCTTTCATTGGTCTGCAATGAAACTGTCGAGAAATATTTGATAATGTCGAAGGTCTCAAGGTATTTCCACTGATAATCACCATATTACTCGCAGCCTAGTACACGGAGAGAAATATTCAATAAAAATTACGTATCTTTTCAGTAATTCCGGAACGCAATGTGGTTGTAGGAAATTTTACGGAACTGTCACGTAATTTTTACCTAAAAACACGAAATTTCTCCAGAGCGTTCCGTAATTTTTACCTAAATCTCCTATGAAAAAATACGATATGTTAAATTTTCTGAGTCGATTCCGTAATCAGTGAGCGAACTGTGAGTTCCATAATTTTTACTGAACATTTGTTTCCGTGTAGAGGACAAACTCAGTTTCTATCACGTACGTCACTAGAAAGAACTGAATTTCAAAATATATCTTTCACGACAATTCAGGCCACACATTGGGAGGGAGAAAAACTATTCATTTCTATTCTCTTCTCCATCCAACATGTTTTCATTCCCACCGAATCCTATCGTTTATAATATATCAGTTGCCATTGGAACGTTTCTGTTGCAGCGAGGAATCAATTTTTCCGCTCCGTTATTTGAAAATGAAAAAAGAATTACGTCGATGAAGCAAAGAAAAACGACATTGCTTTCCTATGAATACTCCTGATGGAAAACTCCCACGCGGTGCCATAGTGTCTATTGTTGTAGGACACTTCATTGCGTCCTCCCTACAACAATAAATTATGAAAACCCTTCATCGTCGTAGAATATTTGAACGGTTCATTGTTTGACTCCCCAACTCAGATGGTCTGTTTTCCCACCACCCATAGTTTATTTATTAGGTAAGGGGAACAGAACTGCCGCCCCTATATTACATTGTGACTTGGTGATGCAACATTGTCATATGAACTCCCGATAGATGCTCTTGAGACCATCTTCATCATCAAGCCATCAATAAGAGTCTTTCCAAATCGAAATATTCAACTTTTGAGGAACTTGAAGAGATGTCTTCGGTCTCAGATTTTTGGGAGCATCCCTATTACAAATTAGGAAAAAGAGTGTCTTATTTTGTGGCTCAATGGCCTTACGAATCTACTAGAATACTTCTCGTACATCGCACGGTGATCTTTTCTTTTCTCAGTCTGCAGTATGCATCACAGGTATAAAGTTAATCACCTCAATATTTCACGTTTTTACAATTTATTTTTGCATTCTTGCAGATATCAGCTGCTTGGATAAATCGATATAATTTAGAAATCCTGATGGAGTCTCTCGCCTTTTTTATTATAGATATAGGTGTGGTAGTAAAATACGTCAATAACTGTTATCATTGTAAAACAGTAAGATACAATTTGGTATAATTCACATAGTTTCGAACAAGACGGGGGAGAAGAAACATTTCTCTTCCGCCTTCACTATAAAAGCAAATCAGAAAATTGTGATCACACGCGGAGGTGAAATGAATGACGCACGGATATCATTCGTTCATTCTACTTCCGTAGATTAGAAATGTACCATTGATAACCCAATAATTATGGACTGCAACCTTTGCAGATAATTCATCTCTTGGAACAGATCAAATATAACTGGCAAATTCTGCCAAAAAATAACGGACTCCATCAGCTCCATAATCATAGTGCTTTTGCAGAGAAATTTGCATTAGTATACATGCGTAAGTCATATCGTTCAATATTAACCCATCACATACGGGGCCCTCCTATTACAAAGTCTGACGAAACTATGTTCTACTGATGACTATGATCTAATGATCAAAGCTATACGATTCAGCTTTCCAATGGCATTGGTTCAATTTCATTAGCTGTCATAGTTTGGAATCATTCGCTTGGATCTACATATATGGCATAGTCCGTCAAACATCGACCAGTAATCTAGCATGTAATTTTCGATTTGTCTGAAGATTTTACCACTTTTTAGGGGTATTGAAAGAAGCCTCGTTCTAAATTTTTGGGTGTGTATAATTGTATATGCACCCCCTAGATGTCTGGTATCTGGTGTTTCCAAGCTTTTCGACGTATGGAAAAGAATGCAGAGTTTGGTGGTTGATGCCTGGTGGCCGCTGGCTTAAAGCATTTTGGTGTATGGGGATTAATGTTGTGTCTGGTGTTTTTTTTTTATTGTTATTTTATATCGCTTCGACCCGGTTAGGGTATACTGCGATGATCAAGACTTTAAATGGTTAGATCGCACCATTCTATCCGGCCGGGATTTGAACTCGGAACCTTTCGCATGTGAGGCAACGAACTTACCCCCTGCGCCAAGCCACCGGGCTTCTGGTGTCTCTAAAATTTTTGAAGTACCAGCTATTCGAAATATTAGTTTCGTAGAATTCTTTCTACGACAAAAAAATCCAACAATCCAAACGGATGGTTTTAAAATGATTTAACGTGCTTAATTAAAGTATTCAATGAGCGTTTAAAAATGGAGTGAAATCATATGAAAAAAACTCGGATATTATTTATTTCCAATATTTATTGACATTCGAGGGCAATGCCTTAAAGGGCCCCGTGATTTCTCACCCTTTTTCTAAATTTAGCGATCATTCGGTCACTGTCTTTTTACCAGATCCACGATTTGTTTTTTTCATGTTTCAAATTTTTAACAAATTCTAATCAAAATCACATCTTGAAATTTTAATCAACTCTTTCCAACAATCCATATTTTCAAAAGAAACGAAAATTCAGTGGTGCGAGATAGTTAACGCATGACAGTCGACAAAAGAAAACATTTTTTGCTGTCATAAAATAGTGCTAGAGCATTGGCATTTTTTTGCAACTTTTGACATTTTTCTTGAGAAAAGGTTCTACATACTTTTTGCGTGAAATCCACCGAATACTTCTAAAAAATTAACAAAAAATTTTTAACCCTCCAGTGGTCACGCTATGATCTGAACGCCGCCGTTTTTGTTATTTTCACAATATCTCTAGAAATGTGATGAATTCCGCTCTGCCTATTGACGAGTTCCTCAAATGATATGAGATTAAATACGGTAGGGTTGACCTCCATTGACAATTTTTTTCTCAGTTAATTTTTTTGTCGAGCGTGGTTAGCGAGAATGAGCGTAGCGCTCACCGTGCGATCATCTTGTAGCGGAAATTTGACGAGCGGTGTTGCCGACCCTCGTGGTAATCCTAAGCAGCGTGTGCGGAATGGGGGGTCGCTGGCCGATGATGTTTATAGTGTCGTATGGCTCTGGCAACGCTGCACTTGAGAATTTACGGACTACGCAGCGCTTACCACGCGACCAATGACGTTCGGCGAAGACGTGCGATTACAGGAGGGTTAAGGAAAAACCCTGAATATGCGAGTTTCTCATACACCGTGCGAAATAAAGGGCTAAAAACTAAGATAAGGCTTCTTTCAATATCCCTAAAACGTGGCAAAATTTTCAAATTGAAAATTATACGCTGGATCACTGAAACTGGTGGAATATGCCATATGACATATGGCCACCGTATTGTCATTCATATGTGATTAAACAAAATTTTCCCCAGTGCAAATGTGGCTGAGTGTTGTCCCTTACGCAATCGAACCATTGGAGCAGAGGCTTGTTTATCACTTTCTATATCCCAATATTACACTACCGAAAAGATTCTCGATGCCGCTGGATTTCGGTCCAATCGACGTAGATACTTGGTATTATTATCTTTGGTTCGGAACTGCATGTACTATGGGTCTAAGTATGACCATGCTTGGTGCCTGCGATCTGTTATTATTCATATTTGCAGAACATGCATGTGGACTTCTCAGCGGTTTGGGGTGATGTAAATTACTAGTTATGAAATCATGGGCCTTAGGATGTTAAAGTGAAGGGATATTAGATGAATATTAACGCCTAATTTAATCGTTTTGTAGATACTACTATAAAAATCAATAAATTTGAGGGGCTTTGACGATCCCTAGTGGAAAAACATAAGGTGGAGGCGGAACATGCCTGATCAGAATTTCGTATTGGACTTGATCAGTTTCTGATCGAGACCTGAACAGAATTTCCACTTGGGTATGAGTCAATTTGAGAGTGAAATTCGTAAGTGTCCTGGTAGCTCAGATGGTAAGAGCACCCGACGCGACACTGGGAGGTCCCGGGTTCGATTCCCGGCTAGGAAGTTACTAATTTTTTCTCTCAAAAAAATTAAATTTAATTAATGCCTAATAATGGTAGGTGGAGAAACTCTAGTGGAAAAACATAAGGTGAAGGCGTAACAGCCTGATCAGAATTTCGGATCGGACTTGATCAGTTTCTGATCGAGATCTGAACAGAATTTCTACTCGGGATTCTATAATAATAATAACAGTCCATTCAAGTTCAATACCGAAAGCGTCTAATTCTTTCAGCTCGCACACACAAAAAATGATTGGTATTTATTAACTATTGCTTGGTATACAAGCAGATCGCCGCCAAATCAGCAGGCCCAAAAATTCGATGCTGGGGATTTTCATCCCAATTTTTTTCTGAAAAGATAGCTATCAGACAAGAATTTTGAAAAGAGTCTGATCGTTTTTTTTGGAGTTGAAAAATATTGATAGTTGAGGGACTTATTATTATTTTTTTCAATTTCGAGTTTTTTTCAATGATTTTTGTTTGTTCCTAATTGGCCCCAATGTCTCAGGGTTTAAAGGTATCAAATCACCGTTTAGCACACTCAAAGAACTTGAAAAACCTTTCAAAATAAGACGCAATGTTTATTATTATCTTCAGTTTGACGGGGTTTATACGAGAAAATGTTTTTTTTTCAATCGTTAATTACTCAAAAATCTAATTTTTTTTCATCTAAAATTTTCAGTAAAAATTTTCAATAAATGACAAAAAATTTGGTGTTAATTAGAATTTCTCTTTCGCTGCGATTCGGCGATTAATAATTTTTTCAATGAAACAAGTAGTGAAAATGACCGAAAATCGCTATTATTCATGCAATTATCCCCCAAATAAGTGATTATTCAATTAAATATTTGCGAATGGTTAGACGCATTCTATCTTCTATTATTCATCTATTTTCATTGTATAATTCAGGAATAATAGCGATTTTCAGTGGTTTTCAATACTTGTTTCAAGAAAAATATTAATAATCACCGAATTACGGGAAAAGACAGACTCTAATTGGCGTCAAAATTGTTCTCATTTTAGTGACAATTTTTAAAGAAAATTTCTGATTAAAAAATAGGTTTTGAGTAATTAACGATTAGAAACAAAAACCGGTAAATCGAAGATAATGCTATGTGTGACATCTCATTTTAAAGGACTTTTTATGTTCTTTGAACGTGCCAAAGGGCGATTTTGATAGCTTGTAACTCCGCTGAGGTATTGGGGCGAATTTGAAACAAACCAAAATCATTGAACAAAAATGGAAACTAAAAAAATCATAACTTCCTCATTTATCAATATTTATCAACTTTTTAAAAATTTTGTATAATAGCTATCTTTTCAGAAGAAATCTGAAACAAAAATCTCCAGCATCGACTTTTTTGGCGTGCTAATTAGACGTGAATCTACTCATATTTTGCCTCTTCTTTTCGGCTCCTTTATTCTCTTTATGTAAAGGATGGGGTCATCCCTCAGATAGGGGAAGAATATCAGCTTTTCGAGACAATGCCCATCGAAGAAATGATCAATTGATCCTATATTTTATAAATTAACAGCATTCTCAACCTATCACCTATCATAAAATCATCCCAAAATCAACATCGCCGGAAACTCAAAAACATTGAAAAAAATGATAAATCCTGTATCTTGATGGGATCATTAATCAATGTTTAGTCACAATATTTTCTACAATCTTTGTGCCGGAAGATATGATCTGCAAAGTGTAAATAAAGAAATGGAATTGATTTTATAGTCGACAGCAACCACTGAAACCGTAGTGATAACAATTCTACTTTTAGGACTGGATCACAGAATTTTTTTTATCGATTTGTCAGCATTATATAATTCTACGTCTGTTGCAGTTCAGTAAAAAAACTCTCCCATTCTTAAATGATGAACATCTATTGACGTTTATTCTGCCAATTTTCACATGGTTTACAAATTGATTCTTACTACTCTTGTGTAATTCCATTACAGACACCCTGTTGACTATGCTCAATAACTGTGTCATTTCCATATTAATAAAGTAGGTAAAAAAATCAAGAGATATTAAAATGAAAGCAAGTAAGCCTGTTTGTTCATCTATTATACGAAATTAATCCAATTATAACAAAACGTCCCAATCACGGAAAGTTGTTCAAGTTTGTTATTATCTCTTAAACATTCGTTAATATTGCATCTAATCGACTATTAATTTCGCAATTTTCAATTTTTTATTGTATATTTTGTTATAGATACGCAATTGAACATCTGCCACATTACGATGAGTCTGAGAGCATTGACTACAGTTTTCAATACATGAGAAGCTGCGCAGTAATCCATTCTAGAGCTATAAAGTAGCTGATTATAATATAGATATTGTCGTTACTAGCACGAAATGCACCACCTTATGGCCAAGTTTCTAATCATGACTTGTAACGAAGGCGAATGTGATGTAGCACGTCCAAGTGACACATCACAAACTTTCAATACGAGTATGTAAGGAGTTCTACAGTGTTCCTTACAGCACATACACGGAAAAAAAAATATTCTCGAATCGGGTATATAATATTCCGGAATCCGGTATATTATATTCTGGAATCCGAAATATTTTATTCTCATTTCCGGAGACATCCCCAGAGGTTTGCCGACTGTTCAAACGGTAAAGGGAGTATCGTGAGATAATTTCCGATAACAAACTTTTGGTTGATCGGAGTATTTGGGGTGCAAACATTTTTTTTCCGTTTGAAAATATACTGGCGACAATATGAGAGTGATCTTTCCATCTAACCCCTACTTCCCCCACCACCGACGCGCGCATGCGCAATGCTGCGGGAGCACACCCTCAATCCGCCGGTGCTATTTTCTTGGGTTTTGAAGACGAAAATTTCGTGCAACACACAGCGAAAAAATCGACTTAAAAAAAACCTTTTTCATCATTAAATCTACACTCATTAATCTATTCATCCATTCATTCCTTTAGCTCATTCATTCTTCACATTAATTCATCATTTAATCATTTTATTTTACAGCTCTTCATAAAAAAATATCGTGTTTAAAAAGTGTTCCAGTGAAGACTTGTGTCATTATTTGTTTAAATTAATTTTGTGGCTTAGCAAAAGTGTTTCAGGGATCCAGTGACATCGATAATTTTCTCTTTTTCATTGTGAACATTTAGAAGAAGTGGTAAGTAGAGCTGATATATTACTACATGTTTTATGGAATTATCGGGATTTCTAGGTTAGGTTTGTGTTTACCGGCCGGTGTTTGCTTAAATTTTTTGCAAACTCAAAAAAAAATCATTATTATCGGAAAATACAATTGAAAAAATAGGGAAGGGTGGGGCTAAATGGCCCAAAATGGATCCCTGATTCATAGTGTCAAAATTTTCTGAAATTTCAGTGAAACTGTCATTTGTTTGAGATTTCAAGACTAAAATCCGAAAAATTCAAATTCAATTAATAATAGTTTACTGACTTGTCTAATTCTCCAACAGTTGACCAAAAGTTTCAAAAATTCCAGAAAAGTCCACATTGATGTACAATATTTGAGAACTATAAATAAAAAATCATTAAATCTTCGAAAAATCTTCTCAAATATTCCTAATTTCTCTAAAAATTGTAAATCGACGTGAAAATTATCTATACCTACATTTAAATAAAATTATTTCTGGTGATTCATTATGAAATGATTGAATAATAAGTTTATTACATGCTACACACCGACAGAAACCACGCAAAGCTGCGTTTTCGAATTTTTTTGAAAATGACAATAATGACTATCAGACACAAGGCTCGAAAATTGGAATGGAAGAACAAAGGGGATAGAAAAAACTATAAACTAGGTGAAAAATAATTTGTACATTTCGTTTCAACGTTTCATATCAAATAACAGAAAGATCAAATTCATTTTCAATGATCCTCCAAAAAACAAATTTTATATTTATACGTCGATTTTATCACACTTTTTTCGTATTTTACATTAACTTGAAATAACAATAATTTATATGCTAAAAATTCACTATCTCTCTTAGTTTCGGAGATATTTTTGAAAATCTCACCAATTCAATTGTTTGGGTTGTGAATTGTCAATTCACAATCCCCCTTCCCCCTTTTTACAAAATCCCCCCTCTTCATATCTGAAATTCCCAATATCTGGGCACCCCTCCCTATGTATGGGGCACTTACGCCCTTTAAATGCCTCGGCAGCATTTTTTTAGTTCAATCTGAAATTTTTCTAAAATTAAGAAAAATTCAGCATTGGCTTTAGAAAATATGAGTTCTTAAAAACAATCCCCAAATTGATTAATTTTTATGATTCCACCAAGGATAAAGTTTAAGGACAGGAGTTTCTAAAATCTAGAAACTAGTTTCTAAAGCTAATCCACTTTTTTTCTCTGTGTGAAATAATTCAATTAAAATTGACAATTTCCATGGATTTTTCCATGAAAATCCTAAATTTTAAGTGATTATTTTTCCAACCCAAATATCGGGCAATATAATTGGCCCATTCGACATCACGTGGTACAAGCTACAGGGTTTTCAACTGATAATTTTTTGATAATTTTCTCTGGTAGTTGCTATATAAAAAACAAAACATCATGCAGTCGAATTAACCCCTCATCAAACTGACAGATTGAATTCAATTGTGGTAATCCGAGGATTTTTATTCGACATGAGTGTTACTTATAAAATTCTCATTTCTCAATTGTGAGTTTCATCTCATGGTCCTATTATATTGCCCGACATTTGGATTGGAAAAATAATCCCACGAATACCACACGAGCTTCAAAATCAATCGGGCATTTTCCTCAAGGTTCCCTGCATACAAACGAAGTCGTCAAGTTTTTCAGGAAAAATCACTTGTGCTTCGCACTCGTGATTTTTTAACTTGAAAAACTTGACTCCTTCGTTTGTTTGCAACGAACCTATCGGAAAATACCCGATAATCTTGAAGCTCTTGTGGTATTACAAGCGCCAAATTTTCTGAAATTTCAGTGAAACTGTCATTTGTTTGATATTTCACGACTAAAATCCGAAAAATTCAGTGAAAATTTTTCAACAGTGTATCGAGAGGGTGAAAAACTCAAATTTTCGTATTTTCAAACGGAAAAAAAATGTTTGCACCCCAAATATTCCGATCAACCAAAAGTTTATTATAAGAAATTATCTCACGATACTCGCTTTACCCTTTGAATAGTCAGGAAACCTCTGGGCATGTTTCCGGAAACGAGAATAAAATATCCCGGATTCCGGAATATAATATACCGGATTTAGGAATATTATTCCGGATTCCGGAATATAATATTCCTGATTTCGGAATATTATTCCGGATTCCGGAATATAATATACCGGATTCCGGAATATAATATTCCGGAATCAGGAATATGTGTATTTCGGGATCCGGAATATTATATACCCGATTCGAGAATTTTTTTTTCCGTGTATGGGAGATTCTACAATGATAGCTTCGCGAGACGTACATAATGCAGACACTCCCAGCAAGAATAGAAAAATATTCGCGTGATTTCCAGAAAGCTAAACTCGATAATTTGTGACCAATTATTGGATCTGTGTTTTCTTGGATTTATTACGCGTTATGGAAGGTAGTGCCTGTACCGCTCACCTAAGGAGTAACGATAATTTTTGTAGACCAACCCATGATTTCGGATAAAAATTACAGTTGGATAGCATTCTTTGGCTATTCAGCTAGATATTTTGACATCAGAGCTTCACTTTTTGGTGAAATTTCGATAATTTATTAGAAAACGAAGGTAGGAGCTGAGTGAACGGTACTGACTGCATAGAACCAATACCGCTCACTTAACTCTCATCTTTGTTGTCTGATAATTTATCAAAATTTCAGCAAGAATTGAGAAAAAAATTTTGATTTCAACTCAGTTTATATGATTCACACAGATGTTAACATCGCGATTTAACGAGATACGACGATTTCGCGGTTTAATGTAAAGCACAGTTCGCAGTTTCGCATTTCGCAGTTTGTCATACAGATCACAAATTGAACGGTGCTTTCCGTAGTTACGGCGTACTTTGCGTTAAACCGCGAAATCGTCGTATCGTGTTAAATCGCGATGTTAACATCTTTGTGAATCATATAAACTAAGTTGAAATCAAAGTTCCACCAAAGTCTATGATGTCAAAATATCTAGCGGAATAGCTAAAGAGCGCTATACGACTGTGATTTCCAGCCGAAATCATGGGTTGAATGCAAGAATTATTGTTATTCCTTACTTGAGCCGTATAGGCATTACCTTGTTGGCCTCAAATTACATCGTAAAGGCCCGAAAACTATGGGATGCTGTTCCGGCAATACATATTGTTATGATTATCTAATTCTCCCTCAGAATGCATTCCATCGAGTCTGCATTCTTTTCCTTCCTCAAAACCTCTCCTCTGAAGTTAGCGCCTCTTTTTTGTTATTATTACTTTTTTTTCTCTTCTCTCTTTTATTATTAACATGTCTCTTTTGATATCGTCCCCTTTCAAACTTAATAAATACTTTATTTTTACCCATGTGCGTTTCAATTGGTGTCAGAAGTGGGATGATTAAATTCCGTGATATTTTCGTTGTGAATTCGTGAAAAAAAGTGCCGGATTTCTCCTCAAAATGTATCGACAGAGGCTAGACGACTTTGACGACGGACTTATAGCTGATCCAAAACATAACAGGGAAGTTTTTGATGAATTTATAGATGACAAAATTACATCCAATAATCACGCAATTAGACATTTTATTGACCAGTCCCTTACCAATGTTCAAACGGATGTCCAAAATTTATTACAGCGCGAATTAGAAAATGCCGTGAGGAGAGAATTTAACGCGACTCTACGCGAAGAAATCCGTTCGATTATTCGGTCGGAACTCTCGGATACGGTTCAAGGAGAAATATCAACCTCTCTCGTATCTACCCAAATGGAGTTGTTGGAAACAACTAATCAAGAGATTCGTCTGAAAACTACAACGGCGAAAGGAGAATTAGAATCATCTCTACAACGGAATCTCTCTCAATCGGTCTCAATCATTCGGGAGGAACTCCTGAGGACATTGCAACAGGAACTACAACAAGGTTTCAATGCTGCACAAGAGAAGATTTTTGAGATCATTGCAGACATCCCGAGGAAAATTCCTAACCACAATCCGGAAAATCCAGATAATAATTTTCATTTTCCTCATAATTCTTCTTCAAGCTTTAATCCTCCTATGGACAATTCTTTCTCCCTTAATCAACCTATTGTTTCAGAATTTCCAAACCGGAACAACGCGAATTCGTTAATTTCACATCGGAATTGGATAAAAATCTCCGAATATGACGGTTCAACTCCTTGGACTCCATTCTATAAACATTTTTTGATTGCCGCGTCTCATAATAAATGGGATACAAATGACATGGCCTCACATTTAGCTACGTGTTTACGGGGTAAAGCGCAGTCTATTTTACAGACTCTTTCCCCAATCGACGTTAAGGATTTCAATAAATTAAAGAAAGAATTAGAGTCACGTTTTGGAGAAGAGAAATTTTCTCAGATGTATTTCAATCAATTTCAAGCGCGCCAACAACACATTGATGAAGATTTTACAACTTACGCGGAAGAACTAGAAAGACTAGCTCGTTTCGCATATGCCGAAGAAACGGATAGATGCCGTGATCGCGCCACGTGTTTTCAATTTATCGGGGGTATCAGAGATACTCGAATTGAAACTATTCTTCGCTCTGAACGTATTGAATCCCTCCAAATTGCCCTTCAACGCGCTACAGAATTACAATCCATTCATAACCTCGTTGGTAAAAAACGGAATACTCAAAACCAAAATAAAATTCAAAATACTTCTTCCAACTTCAATAAATTAAAAATTAATCCACAGAATTCATCAAATAATTCTTCGAATATCCGATCACCTCATCAACAAAATCCTCAAAAATCATTCTACAATAAACAAAACGATACTTGTTTTGCTTGCGGTAAGCTGGGTCACTCCAATTTTGAGTGTAAAAACCCTGTTTCTTCGGATTTAAACGCATTTTGCAATTCATCAACAACTCAAAATAAATCTCAAAATCAGAGAAATTTTAATTCTCATTCAACCCCAAATTTTCATCGTAATACTCAAAATAATTCTCATTCTCAATCTCGTAGTCAGAATTCTACCCAAAGTACTAAATGTTA